TAACCTTTGACCCAGCAGCAGAGGTTAGGTGTCTTGGTGTTTCAGAACCATCAGTCGACCCGATCCGGTTCTGAGCGGGTCCAACCTGTCAGGACGGCGCGGCGTCAGCATCTCTCTTGTTTCCTCAGATTCAGACATGGACATCCGGCCGAATCACACCGTCTACATCAACAACATCAACGATAAAGTGAAGAAAGAAGGTAAGTGCAAACTGCCTTGTTGTCTTCATCTTCCAGCATCTAGATGAAGCATTTCCATATTTCGAGGAAACGCTTCTGGGTTTGGCATGAAGTCCAGATTTCTAGGTCAGAACCCACAACCCAACCTGGCCGACGTGGCTCAAAACTACAGTCTCTGATTTTCAATTTATTATTTTATTTTCTCACTTTTTAAAAAACAAATATTTTTTTCTGTTTTGTTTAAGTCTGAGAATAGGGTTGTAATTTTAGCGGAATAAAGAACAAGAGGTTTCATTTTACCAGAAACCTCTTAAAAGTCGTTTTAAAGGGAGAAAAGTTCTGGTATCAGGATCCGTCTGGTTTCTAAGTCCTGCTGCTGATAAAATATGAAATATGTCCTTGTCTGAACTAGAGGCGTGCCGATCAGTCTGCCACCAATCATAATCAGCCGATTTCTGTGAAAAGTGTATGATGGTGATCGATCACTGTCTCCTGTTGCCAATCACAAACCGATCACCTGCATCTCGCTGTGCATCAACAAATCCTGTCGTGTGAAATGTTAACGCCGAGTGAATGGAGACGTTTGCTCGCTGCGACGGAGAATGACCTCGGTGGTGAAGCTCGTCGCAGAGCATCAGGCCGTGCAGAGAGCTTTGGAGGACGGGGGCTCAAACATCTTAAAAGACCGAACAACAACGTAGCAGCAACCCAGATTCATCAGTGATTTCCCAAGATGCTTATTTTTTATAGTCTCATAAAATTACTTCTTCATTCTCCTCATATGTGACTTTATTTTTCTAATTAAATAAATGAAATGACTCTGAAAAGCAAAAATTGGGTTAAGACACTTTGTCCAGGGAATGATTTAAAAACAATTTGATATTGTTTGTGACATGAACTTATTGAGTGGCTTCAATATTAAACCGTTGATATCCATTAAAATACAACAAAATTTATAATTTTGGTAATGGAGATTATTCATCTATGATGTCCAGGAGTAATCGGTTCTGACTTCCTCCCGCAGAGCTGAAGCGTTCGCTTTACGCGCTCTTCTCCCAGTTCGGCCAAATTGTCGACATCGTGGCCATGAAGACGATGAAGATGAGGGGCCAGGCCTTCGTCGTGTTCAAGGAGCTGACGGCTGCAACCAACGCGCTGCGCCAGCTGCAGGGATTCCCCTTCTACAACAAGCCCATGGTACGCCGCCATATGCACCGTGCAGCTGACTGCCTCTTTAGCCACGATGCTAACCCCTTTGGCTGGGGCGCTAGCCTCTTTAGCCGTAGTGCTAGCCTTATTAGCTACGGTGCTAACCTCTTTAGCTGTGATGCTAACTAGTTCTGCTCTCTTCCAGAGGATCCAGTATGCTAAAACCGACTCGGAGGTCATCTCTAAGATGAAAGGCACCTTCAGCGATAAGGAGAAGAAGAAGGAGAAGAAGAAAGAAAGCTCAGGAGGCGGCGGCGGCAGCTAACGCTGCTAAGAAACCTTCAGCGGTGAGTGACCCTGGCTGACCCCTGCATGACCTCTGGCTGAGGTCACATGCTTCACAAATAGTTCCTTTCTGTTGCATCACAGCTGCTGTTTGTTTTCTGTCTGCAGACTCTAGCTGTGCCTGCGCAGACGCCTGCTGTTCAGGTAAGCCATCTGCGCTCACCTGAACCGGTTCTGGAGTTCGCCGCCGACCCCATCGATCAGAACCCGGCATAGAACATCCATGGCATCAGTGTGGTTTACAGAAATCTGAACATCCATCCATCCATTTTCCGGTCACCCTTCTCCCTAATGGGGAACGCAGCTGGTTCCTCTCCAGCTGCGTTCCGGGCGAGAGGCGGGGTCACCTGGACAGGTCACCCTGGACAGGTTACCCTGGACAGGTCACCCCCTGGACAGGTTACTTGTCCAGAGCTGAAGCGAGAAAAGGGAGAAAAGCTTCTGGTATCAGGATCCGTCTGGTCACCCTGGACAGGTCACTCTGGACAGGTCACTCTGGACAGTCACTCTGGACAGGTCACCCTGGACAGGTCACCAGTCTGTTGCAGGGCAACACAGAGAGACAAACAGGACAAACAACCATGGGAGAATTTGGGAAGACCAATCAACCTGACAGTCATGTTTTTGGACTGTGGAGGAAGCCGGAGAACCCGGAGAGAACCCAGCATGCACAGGGAGAACATGCAGACTCCATGCAGAAAGACCCCGGGCCGGGAATCGAACCCAGGACCTTCTTGCTGCAAGGCAACAGTGCTACCCACTGCGCCACTGTGCAGCCCTGAACAGTGTGGCTTAATCCAGTCCAGAGGTTCTGGTCTCAGTAGAAACCAAACGGCATCATGGAGGAACCCAGAAGCAGGTCGAGAGATTCTGGTTCTGTTTTCAGCAGAGTCGGCCGTTTCACGTTAGCCGCGTAGAAGTTGGATAAAATCGTACACAAGCGTTCAGACGCGCTGTGAAAACTGATCTCTGTTTCCTTCTCGCTGCGCAGCAACAAATCCTGTTGTGTGAAACGTTAACGGCGAGTGAACGGAGATGTTTGTGCTGCGGCGGAGAATGACCTCAGTGGTGAATCGGAAACGATTTAGGTTCACGTTTCTAGCAGATCGGACTGTTCTGGGTGGAACAACACGAATCGGGCCGTTCAGAACGGCCCAAGCCCTAAACCCTGTTTTCGGGTCAGAACCAACCCGTCTCTTTTCTGTTCTCAGGTTCCAGACAATCCTCCAAACCACATACTGTTCCTGAACAACCTGCCAGAGGAAACCAACGAGATGATGCTGTCCATGCTGTTCAACCAGTGAGTGTTCTGCTCCTGCAGACTAGCCAGCAGCAGTTAGTAAGCACTGCTGAGCTTGTTATTGCAGCTGCTGCTCAGAGCATCGCTGGTAAAAACATTGAGGAGTTAAAAGAGGAGCCATGTTGGGATGACTTCCTGGAGGCGGACCTTCTTAAAGAGACAGAGACTCAAAAGAGACGTTAATCAGGAAATCAAATTCCTTTAAGTCAAGAGTCATTATGTAGTTCTGACAACTGTTACTGGATTAAAATGAATCTGTGTCTCTGGTAAATAGATGATGCTAGTCTTTTAACAGGAAGAAACATCCAGCAGAAGCAGAGCAGAAATCTGCTGGCGCTAAGTCAGCTGAGTCACAACTCAGTGACAGTGACACGCTGCCGCACAAAAACTTTAGTTTGTCTCCGTTTAAATGAAACATTGTCCAGGTCTTTAAGTCCCACCTGTGGCCTAAACAAAGTCTCTGCAGTTGAGCTAAGGACCGCCCACCTCATTAGCATAATGACCTTGATGTCGGTCTTCATGTTTCTGTTGCTCTGCAGGTTTCCGGGCTTCAAAGAAGTGCGTCTGGTTCCGGGGAAACACGACATCGCCTTCGTGGAGTTTGAGAGCGAGATGCAAGGGGGCGTGGCCAAAGACGCGCTGCAGGGCTTCAGGATCACCGCCACCTGCGCCATGAAGATCACCTACGCCAAGAAGTAGCTGCTCCGCCCACACTCTGGACTTTTTTACTTTGTTACTGTTTTTGACATCTGGATTTTTGTAAAATAAATGAACGAAGCGACTCATCAGTTTCTACCTTGTGGGACAAATATTGATTCAGAAAAAATTTATTATAAATAAGACAGGATAATTTTCCTCTAAAAGAAACTAAAACAGTTTCCATAAAGCAAACATTTATTAATATTGAGATCAAATCAGGAGTTTCTATGAGATTCAGTGGTTTATTTCCCTAATTTGAGATAAATTCAGAACATTTTGGTTCTGGGAGGGCTTTTAATCTGAAAAGGCAGATCAGCTGTTGGATGCAGTCGATTCTGGTTCAATTCCTCCACGTGGATCAGAACCGATCCATCTCATTTTATTTAACCCATGTATAGATTGGTAGATCCATCAAGATCGATACATCTATATCTGATATCATGTCATGACGATATTGTCTGTGGTTGGGTGAACAAACTCCTGTCTAAGATCAGTAGCTGTTAGCGATCAGCATCTGTTAGCGATGAGTAGCTGTTAGCAATCAGCAGCTGTTAGCGATGAGTAGCTGTTAGCAATCAGCAGCTGTTAGCAATGAGTAGCTGTTAGCGATCAGCATCTGTTAGCGATGAGTAGCTGTTAGCGATCAGCATCTGTTAGCGATGAGTAGCTGTTAGCGATCAGCATCTGTTAGCGATGAGTAGCTGTTAGCAATCAGCATCTGTTAGCGATGAGTAGCTGTTAGCGATCAGCATCTGTTAGCGATGAGTAGCTGTTAGCGATCAGCATCTGTTAGCGATGAGTAGCTGTTAGCGATCAGCATCTGTTAGCGATGAGTAGCTGTTAGCGATCAGCAGCTGTTAGCGATGAGTAGCTGTTAGCGATCAGCAGCTGTTAGCGATGAGTAGCTGTTAGCGATCAGCAGCTGTTAGCGATGAGTAGCTGTTAGTTGTAGTGTTATGCCGAGTCAAGGATGTCACCGATATTGCGTTTGAAACGTCTTTAATGTCGAACTAACACCAACACAATCTCGGGTTGCTGAACAGTGTGTTCTCTCTTAGCGTCTCTACTGCATACGTCACTTCCTTGTTCTACTCCAACGTAACCTTACACATAAAATACCATTACATTACATTAGCGATCGGCAGCTGTTAGCGATCGGCAGCTGTTAGCGCTCTGGTCCCGGTTCTGATGGCGGTCCGGTTCAGTCTGATGTGGATTTCATTGTTTGAATTAAAACTTCTGTTATTTCTGGTCAACTTCCAACAAGATGCTGGGAAAAGAAGTTTTTATTTTGATTTAAAGCATTTAAGAGCTTAAAGAAATAAAAATGAGTGAAATCCAGATTTATTAAGATAAAATCTAAGATGACAGAAGTCCAGTTTATGTTTCATCCAACTTATAACTTTTAGGAACTTTTCACATTAAAAGCCTATCAAATCTGGCAAGACTTTCACTGTGAAATAAAATAAATAGAGGCTAAAAGAAGTCAGAAAATGTTTATTTTGTTCAACTCTGACCTTTCATAATAAAAGTCATGTTAAACTAAATTTCTAGTGATTATTACGTCACACAGCCTCCGCTGTGCCTTCTTGAAATAAATTGCTTTTCAAATTAAAAGCAGATCCATTGGCATTTACTTTTTAAAAAAGTGGAGTGAAGAAGAAACCGTTTAAAAATAAGAAATTGATTTTTGTTTCACATTTGCTGATATTTTCACAATAAAAGCATCAGCAATAAAACTGCAGAACAAAAAGCAGAAATGTTTCCCTTTTCTGCTTCCAGCTGCTGCTGGCTCCACACCTAAAGCTTTTAATTTGAAAACCCTCCTCCTTTAGTGTTTCCTGTCGACAGGCTGTTGATCAGAGTTTCAGCCTGACCAGTCATGTGACCCGATCTTCCTCCTCTACTTGCTCCTCTTCCTCAGGAAGGCCTTCTCCTCCCTCTGCCGCTGCAGGTCGTCCTAAGGCTCGTAGTCAGAGTCGTCACCCGAGTCCTCGCTGATGAAGATGTCGTCGTCAAGGTCAAGGTCATCATGGGGCCTCAGGGCGGCGAAATGGGGGGCGGCAGAGCGGGGGGCTGCGGGGAGGAGTCTGGGTTTCAGAACCAATTGGATCTCTGCACATGATTTAAGACCAGAAACGTTTTACAGCTGACAGAAGATGAAGAGTTTCAAAACGCTGCTCCTCTTCTTCACTTCCTTCCCAGAACTTTACTGGCATCCAACCGTCATCCATCCATCATCCATCCATCATCCATCATCCATCCATCATCCATCATCCATCCATCCATCATCCATCCATCCATCCATCCATCCATCCATCCATCCATCCATCATCCATTCATCCATCCATCATCCATCATCCATCCATCCATCCATCCATCCATCCATCCATCCATCATCCATCCATCCATCATCCATCCATCCATCCATCCATCCATCCATCCATCCATCCATCCATCCCATCATCCATTCATCCATCCATCATCCATTCATCCATCCATCATCCATTCATCCATCCATCATCCATTCATCCATCCATCATCCATCATCCATCCATCCATCATCCATCCATCCATCCATCATCCATCCATCCATCCATCATCCATCCATCCATCATCCATCCATCCATCCATCATCCATCCATCCATCCATCATCCATCATCCATCCATCATCCATCATCCATCCATCCATCATCCATCCATCCATCCATCATCCATCCATCCATCATCCATCCATCCATCATCCATCCATCATCCATCCATCCATCATCCATCCATCCATCCATCATCCATCCATCATCCATCATCCATCCATCATCCATCCATCCATCATCCATCCATCATCCATCATCCATCCATCATCCATCCATCCATCCATCATCCATCCATCCATCATCCATCCATCATCCATCCATCATCCATCCATCATCCATCATCCATCCATCATCCATCATCCAACCGTCATCCATCCATCATCCATCATCCATCCATCATCCATCCATCCATCCATCATCCATCCATCCATCCATCATCCATCTTTCATCCATCCATCCATCATCCATCCATCCATCCATCCATCCATCATCCATCATCCATCATCCATCCATCATCCATCCATCCATCCATCATCCATCCATCCATCCATCATCCATCCATCATCCATCCATCCATCCATCCATCATCCATCCATCCATCATCCATCCATCATCCATCCATCCATCATCCATCCATCATCCATCATCCATCCATCATCCATCCATCATCCATCCATCCATCCATCCATCATCCATCCATCCATCCATCCATCCATCCATCCATCCATCCACCATCCCATCCATCCATCCATCCATCCATCCATCCATCCATCCATCATCCATCCATCATCCATCCATCCATCCATCCATCATCCATCCATCATCCATCCATCATCCATCCATCCATCCATCATCCATCCATCATCCATCCATCCATCCATCCATCCATCCATCCATCCATCCATCATCCATCCATCATCCATCCATCCATCATCCATCATCCATCATCCATCATCTGGCCGACTCACCTGGTATCTCTGTGTGTCTGAACTGCTTCCGATGGAGAGGATTCTTCCTGAAACCAGAGGTTCAGCAGTGACATCACAGAGGGTTTTATTTGTAAAGTGATTCATGAAGAACAAACGGATCAAAGTCATTGATCAAAGCTGGAACATAACGAGCCAATCAGGAGGAAACATCTACCATAAATAAATATCTATTAAACGGATAATGGAAAAAATGTGGAGATAAAACGTGGTGTCAGTAAATCGTTAGTTACATCATTCCTCACACTGAGAAGGTCAAGAGGTCAGATCCTCCATGTATGGCTTCACTGTTAGGGCACTTTTTTTTATAATTGCTCATCACTGTAGTTTATGGTGTATCTGTGGGAGATTCAGGAAGCAGAAATCTCATTTTGATGAGCAACAGGAAGTCCAAGTATGGCAATTAGAGAGCGACTGTGGTCTAAATCTAAAGGGAAGATTTTATAAAATAGACTACTGTGAGCTGTAAACTTAAAATAATATTTAAATATAATAAAGCTGTAACCTCTCTGCTGTGTCACCACAAACAGAAAGTTTCTAGATTTGCTGCTAGACGCAGTTTTAAAATGAAGTTTTCAGAGAATCTGCAAAGTTTCTAAGGAGGAAACTGGGCCAAAGCGGTTCTGTCGCTCTGAGCGATCGAACCCAAATGACAGAATCGGTTCTGATCGTTGATGAAAATCTCATTTGTTGTCAGTCTCATGGTTTTACCCAACGAACTCTCCCCACCCCACGTGGCCACGCCCCTCAGAGTCCCTGGCTCCGCCCACTTTGGGGAGTCTTCCTAATTGCACCTGTGGGCGGGGCTTAGCTTTCTCTGGACCCGTCTGACCTGTAGCAGGCGGTGCTGTACGGACACTCTGGTCGCTCCTCCTGCTCCTCCTCCTGCTCCTCGTAGTCGGCGTCTCCAGGGTGACTGCTCTCCTGGAAGTGAAGCGGGTTCTTCCTGCAGAAGCAAACAGCGCTGCTGAGGGCCGGCTGGTCTCCAGCTGATTCCCCGCCTCCCAGCAGGGGGTGCTACCTGTAGCAGTCTTTCCCATAGGGACAAGCGGTTCTGACTCCAGACCGGTTCTTCTTCTCCTTCTGCTCCAATTGCTCAGCTGCTGCGCTCTGTGACGGCGCAGAGCTGACCTCTGACCTGCTGGGTCCAATGTGACCTCTGGACCTCGACTCATCCCAGAGGTCATCCTGAAATCAGAGAACAGCCTCTTCAGTCTCAGAGGGACGGACAGCCGTGTCCCTCATGTCCCAGACTCTCGTCCTTCTGGCTCTGTTTTGGTGATAATTAATCTCATAATCTCATAATCTCAATATGAAAGAAACTAAAGCAACAAGAAACCAGTTTGTGAAAATCATTCTGACTCACCAACAATGTCCAACAGAAAAGTTGGGACATTTTGACCAACCTGCGTCTCCTCTCACCGCCAATTTGAAAACATTCACCTCTGATTGGCTGCCCGACACATTCTCTCATCCTGATTGGTCTAGATGAACCGACGGCTTCATCTGTGATGTGACCCTGAAACGGCTCGGCTGGCCCGGCTCTGCCAAGTCTGTGCGCACACAGCCTGCATCTGAAAGCGCCGGCTGATCTCGAAATTTATCACAGTTTTAACAGAACTTAATTTACCACTTCAGTCCTTCAGGTCATCTGGAAATTATTGTTACAAATTTCTGACATTATCATGTTTTCAGAATTTGATTATAATCCTTTAATTACAGAATCTAACACCCCCCTCTGCAACTGGCGTCTCGACTTCCTCACTGACAGAACCCAGGCTGTCAGAATGGAGAACAACACCTCCGATGTCATCACCCTGAACACCGGCACCCCTCAGGGCTGTGTCCTGAGCCCCTGCTGTTCACCCTGATGACCCACGACTGCCGTCCACACTTCAGATCCAACCACATCCTGAAGTACGCGGACGACACCACAGTGGTGGGCCTCATCCGGGACAACAACGAGACGGCCTATAGGGAGGAGGTGCGGCATCTGGTGGACCGGTGCAGAGGAAACAACCTGATCCTGAATGTCAACAAGACCAAGGAGATCATCGTAGACTTCAGGAAATCCAGACCCACCCACACACCACTCCTCATCAACGACTCAGCAGTGGAGGTCGTCAGCAGCACCAAGTTCCTGGGGGTGCACATCAACGACAACCTCAGCTGGTCTCCCCACATCTCCTCACTGGTGAAGAAGGACCAGCAGCGCATGCACTTCCTGCGTGGGATGAAGAGAGCATCCCTCCTGTCCCCCATCCTTCAGACCTTCTACAGAGGGACCATCGAGAGCCAACTGACCAGCTACATCTCCATCTGGTCTGGGAGCTGCAGGGCCTCTGACTGGAAGTCTCTACAGAGGGTGGTGAGGACAGGGGAGAAGATCACGGGGGCTCTGCTCCCCTGCATCAAGGACATCGCAGAGAGGCGCTGCCTAACTCGCGCTCACCAGATCCTCTTCGACCCCACCCACCCCAACCATGGACTGTTTTCCCCCCTGGCGTCTGGAAGAAGGTTCCGCAGCATCTTGTGCAGAACAACCAGACTACTGAACAGTTTCTTCCCCCGGGCCATCAGACTGCTTAACGCCACATAACACTAACACACACACTCACACACACACACACACACACACACACACACACACACACACACACACACACACACACACACACACACACACACACAAACCAAATCCCCCCCCATGGACATGGTCAATACATGCACTTTAGTTTAGTTTTGTTCACAACACTGAACCTGTGTATTCTATGGCACTTGTATTGTATTTATTTATTTATTGTGTAGTTTAAGGTTTTAGCTCTGCTACACTGGTAGCCAAGTAACGACATTTCGTTGTCAAGATTCACCTTGTGTTTTTTTTGTACAATGACAATAAAGGAAGTCTAAGTCTAAGTCTCTAAGTCTAATCTTTTTTATTGCAAACGTACGAGTTGTTGGGTTTGGAGAATATTTGGGTTTTTCTCAGACAGTGTGTGAAGTCAGTCTGTTTTCTCCTCCATTCGGACCTGAAGCTTCTTCTCGTTTCAGGATCATCGTTTCGTTCGTTTTCTGGAAAACTTTTTTTTTTTTTTTTTCCATTCAAATTTTTCTTAAGGAACAACATGAAGAACCTGGTCTGGTCACAGAAGGTGGTACAGTCTTAAACAATCCTCTGTTCAGTTTGTCACATTGATCTGTAAAACATCTGGATGATCCATCTCCAGTCTTCAGTTCGTCTCAGAAGAATGAGGAGGAAACGGAGCGAATAGCAAACGCTCTACACCCAACAGATTTATTAGGTTCAGGTCTGGTGTTCAGGAAGTCCAACATCTGTCAAATCTGTCTGTCTCCAGTTTCAATGCAAATGTAGGTCCAGTCTGCTAATGTGGCCGTTTTGTCAGTCATTGCTTTTGCAATTAGCTTTATATTGACTGTTTTACAGAATCCCTTTACACAGTTTGGTCGTTTGCCCAGGAACAAGGTCTCAAAGTTTAGAGCAAATGTGGAGGAATAAGTCCGACCTGTTTGGACGGCTCCATAAAGCATAAAATGGCCAGCTTGTTTCGACCCACATGACCTCCAGCATCTTCTGCCTGAGCTGCTGTTTGAAGAAGCATGAAACTGTCTTCCAAGCAAATTCCCTTTATGTTAGTGATGATTTCCAACAGTTATTCAAAATGTCTAGCCCAGGGGTCACCAACCTTTTTGAGACTGGGAGCTACTTCACAGGTACGGAGCAACACGAAGGGCACTTGTTTGATACAGTCTTTATATATATATATATATAAAAAATTCCCTTCTCACCCACCGCGGGTGGTTCTTATCCTCTGAGCTCGGGTCCTCTACCAGAGGCCTGGGAGCTTGAGGGTCCTGCAGTATCTTGGCTGTGCCAAGGACTGCTGCACATTTCTGGACTGAGATGTCTGATGTTGTTCCTGGGATCTGTTGTAGCCACTGCTCCAGTTTGGGGGTTACTGCCCCGAGGGCCCCGATGACCACAGGCACCACTGTGGTCTTCACCTTCCAGGTCGCCGGTTTATTCGCTTTTTTTGTGGTTTTGCGAACTGAACAGCTGACGGGTCCCGCTGGCTGACACCAGCAGATGTGGAAAAAATAAAGGTCCAACACAAAACTATCACTGCACCTGACCTGCAAGAGCACAAGCACCTCTCCAATGCGCAAAAATCAGCACAAACCTGAACCAAGAGCAGCGGACTTTTTTTCCTGACGATGCTAAATAATAAAGACATGGAAGCGAAGCCTCTCCAGAGGACGGTGTTGATTCCCAGGTTCGGGTGTTGCGATGTGCGCTACAATAAGATGTTTTGACACAATTTATTTAATTTTTCTTCACAATTTTGTTAATAGTAAACAGGGTTAAATAATAAAAAATTCAGAAGTTATTCTTTTTTTCTTTACTTAAAGGAAAATGTCCAGGTATGCAGAGCGCAGCTGCAGGCGCAGTTCTGAACTTTAACAGCAGGAAAGAGTTTTATACGTAAAGCAATTTATTTTAAACGTTTTTATCATTTTCCTCTTTTGAACTCTAAATATAAACAAACATCATTACTTCAATGTAAAAACATTTAATCAAATTATTTTTTCGTAGTGCTCCCTAATGATAATGCTATTTTTAGAAGTGGCTCCTCGGGCGCCTGAAAAGGTCCCTGCGGGCGACCGGGTCCCTGCGGGCGACCGGGTCCCTGCAGGGACCTTTTCAGGCGCCCGAAGAGCCACTTCTAAAAATAGCATTATTTTAGAAGTGGCTGATCAAACCCTTTTCAATGCATTTTTTAAAAGCGATCTCTGTTTTATTTGGGGTAAATCTTGATCATTTGCTCTCCATCTGATTGGCAAACAGGACTTTTTACTAATATTGAGCAGGTCTTGAGTGGCGTTTCTGAGTTAGTTTTTTATTTAGTGTGTATTTCCAATGGCTGCTTGCAAGGAGACACCACTGTTGCACATTCAGTCTCCTTCCAATGTGGAGTCACACATCAGAAGGTCATATTTGAATTGTGGGGATTCAGTTTGTAGTCTGAACATTTCCTGTATTCCTTCAAGATTTTCTGTAGTTCTGGGAGATTCCCGTGTCGTTCCAGCTGGACTGAAATATCATCTGCAAAAAGCACAAATTTGTGTTCCTTGTTTGTGTAACTTTCTTTATGCCGTGTTTTGGTGCTTTTCCTGATCTATTATGCAGACATGGAACATCCTTGTCTGCAGAAGACTCAATTTTAATTTTTTATGCCAGCTGCCCGTTAATCCCAATCTTACCTGTAGACTTGTTGTTCCTGAATTATCTTTACAAAGATAATGCAATTGGGTGAAGACTGAGTAAGAATGATCAGCCTGCAGTATCAAATGGACTCAGTGTTACTGTCTGTCTGGTTAATCTGGTTGGGAATCTTCTGATATTGTCTCTGGTTCGTCTCTTCTTTATGAACCTGTCTGGTCGAAATTATTATATCTGGGAGGATATGCTCCAATCTTTTGGCTAATATGGATGTAAAGATTTTATAATCTTGGTTAAGTAGAGTGATTTGAACAGTTTAATTTGTCTTTATCTTCTTTTTGGATAACTTATGGGGCTCCGTGGTTTTCCTGTCAGGACAGCTTTACAGGCATCCCATAATATTACAGGAGAGACTTCTCCATTGTGGTTGTCTGAATTTCTTGCCTTAAGTCTCTTTAATGTTGCTAGAGTTGAGTCTCCATAGCTACGGGGTTTTTGTTAACTTTATATGAAGTGAGAAATAACCTAACGCCACATTTTCCCCAAGTCCTTGTTTTCTGAAAAAGTTATCAGTTGTGGAATGTGAATGGCGAGCAGCTCTTTCTGGGGTTGATTTCAACATTTTTAAATGTTTTTAGATCATCAAGCAATTTTTACAACAAAGAAAATTCCTTAGCATTGTGGAAATGTTGTGATATTTTCTGATGTTTTCATCAGCAGCTGTACTGACGGTTTGCGTTGGGAGGATTTCTTCCTCGCTGCTGATCGCCCCGCTCTTCTTCCTCGGCCTCTGGGCCTCTTCCTGGCGGAGCTCCGCCCCCTCAGGTGGGGAGGATAGAGTGGGCGGAGCCTGAGTGGCAGCAGGTTTACTTCTCTTCACCCCTGGATGAACAAACAGTCAGTGAGTGTCTGGCCTGCAGAAAATCACTAAATATGTGAAAAGAAGCTACTAAAATATTTAACATTTTAATGATGAATAAATGATGTCCTTATTAAGTGATGATCTGATCAACTAAATGTGAAACTTTACTGTAAATAATTAAGGCTCTCTCTGCTCAAACTACCTTAGCATATACTTTTCAAACTCCTATTTCCAAACTAGAAAAGGACCAGAAGATACAAACTTAAAGTGATTCCATACCAACTTTATTTATAAAGCACTTAAACAACCACAGCTGATGCAAAAACTCTTACAGTTTAAAACAAACAAACATACAACATGAAACTAGATCTCGCTGGAGTTGAAAGCCGAGTAAAATAGATAAAAGTGGACAGTGAAGGGGCCTCTGACCTGCAGGTCATCCATAACTTAGGACCCGACAGAGAAAGCTCTGTCCCCTCTGAGCTTCCGTCTAGATCTCTGTTCCTCCAAGAGCAACTGATCTACAGACCTGAGAGATCGATAAGGTATGTCAGGGTGAAGAAGCTCAGTGAGGTAAGCCGGGGCAAGATCATGCAGCGATTTTAAAACAAACATAAGAATTTTAAAATGGATCCTAAAATAAACAGGCAGCCAGTGAAGTGAAGCCAAGACAGGGTCACATGCTCTCTCTTTCCAGTTCCTGTCAAAAGTCTTGCAGCCGCATTCTGAAGCAGCCGCAGACGTGAGAGCAGTAACTGACTGACTCCCAGATATAGAGAGTTACAATAATCCAGTCGAGTTGAAATAAAAGCGTGGATCACTGTTCAAAATGCTGCCTGGAAAGAAAAGATTTCACTGATGCCAATCGCCTTACATGATAAAAACTGGACTTAACCACAGCTCTAATGTGGCTGTCCAATTTAAAATCACTGTCCACCTTAAAACCAAGGTCTGTAATAACAGGTTTAAAATAAACCTCCAAGGGTCAAAGGTCAACAGAGGAGGACTCACAGGAGCCACTGGGTCTGAACACCATCACCTCTGTTTTCATTATGTTCACAGAAAACAGAGGGTTAGATCTAGCAACCTGAACAGGAGGATCTAGTTTATTTACTTTGGATCAACATTAGTTTCTTTTTCTTCTTCTGCTCTTTCCTTTGGTTTCTTTTTTTATGTGTATTTCCCTTTAATTCCTGTAAAGCACTTTGTTTTAACTTGTTGCTGAAAATGTGCTACAGAAATGACCTTAAATGTAAATCAATATTTGGAGGAAAACTGATCATTAGATAGAAGATGTTGCCATAACGATAGTTGCCTGTTACCTTTGGAAGCCGCCATCATCCAGGCAGGTAAGACCCGCCTCCTGGGAGGGGGCGGAGCCTCGTCGCTCTGAACGCTGTCCAGACATGGAGCCCAGACTTCCTGTCAGGGAAAAACAACTTCCTGTTGAGTTCCACACAGAGCTCAACCAAACAGAAATTCCTTCCACATATTATTAAAAATACTGTGATTTTTAAAAAGTTGCCACATTTCAAGATAAAATGATAATTTTCCATCATTAAAAGCAGAATTTTATTCAACTGAAACTGAGAAATTCTAAAAGTGTCAGAAAAAAGGTTTCCAGAGATTATAAACTCAGATTGGTGTTTGAAACGCAGCAGATGGATCTGGAGAGCCGAAATTTACACCTTTAATCAATGAAAATTATCATGTTTTTCGTGCAGATTTATGATTTTGAGTGTTTTTTAAATATGTGAAATGTATCTGGACATTTCTGAGTCTGGAGGGAACGCCATTCTCAACATGGCCGCCTGTGGACCACGGCGCTCAGTCTCCTCTGAGGACAGACCTGCCTGAAATCGCTGCTGTGCCGGTTCCTGTCTGGACAGGAAGTCTGTTCCTGACCCGGCCTGACCTCCAGAGGAGCCGCCGCATCAGACCCGGCAGGAAAAGGAAGAGCTCCGTCGTCTTCCTCAAAGTTTTGACTGTTCCTGCAGTCAGAGCTGCAGCGGGACATGAGAACAAAGCACCGTAATTAACCTCATCCCGGTAGAGCGAGACGCCCCGCCATCGGTGTGAAAACGCCTGGGGTACCTGGACGCACTCCTCTCCGCGCCGGCAGTCGCCACCCTGTAGATGAAGCGACCCGGCAGCAGAGAGAACTGGTCTCCAGGGTGAAGCCGGTGCCAGGAGTCCCTCTCCAGGGGTCGGGGGTCATCGTTCGGGGACGACAGGAGGAAACACGGGTTGACGTGGGTCTGCTGGGAGGAAGTGATGTAAGAGTTTCTCTGTGCCATAGCACCCACTGCTGAGTACGATGTGTAGCGCATCAAACTGACACAAAAGTAGAAAAAAAATCCTTTTCTAAATTCATTTTTACCAACTGATAGAAATTCTGCTGCTTTCGAGAGAAACGTGAAGAAATGAGGAAGTTTAAAGGCAAACCCTTCACCAGATCATGGAATACCATCAAATATCACCAAACTGTAAACTGATCAACCAATCACTGAAAAGAGTCTAGTGATTCAGCTAAAATTAGGATAAGCTAACACTAAACCGCTAACGCTAACCATTAGGACAACGTGTCGTCTTTGATGACAAAAACAGCAGCCATCTTGAAAAATCATCCTTAAGTCATGAGTTTGATGGGCATTATAAAAACCCTTGAGGGGTGAGCATGCTAATTTCTGGGCTTGTATCAGCTCAGTTTTTAGTGACGTTGAGCTCTGATGATGGGAATAACGACACGTGCAGCTGTTCCTGAACGCACCGGTTTGAGCCGCAGCTGTCCGTCCAGGTTGTCCAGCAGACCGTGGCGGCGGGAGACTCTGCGGTCACTGATCTGGTGAAAACAGGAACATCTTCATGTTTACCACATCTTTCTGTCGCAGGGTTTCTCTGTGCAGTCAGAAACAGCTCTGTGCTACATCTATGTCATATAAACATAGCAAATACTTCCAGAAGCAGGACGTGCAGTAAACCCAGCTGCCTCGCAGTATCCTGACCTTTGAACCTCTTCAGATGAACTGGGAAGTGCGGAAATGGGATAAAATCATTTCCCAGAAGGACTCACCCCGAGGAAGGGTCCCCGACCCAGCACCGTCTCACCCGGCGGCAGCGGGACCAGATCCCCGCCGTCCACCGGGACCAGGCCGAAGCCGGACATGAGGCTCTGCTCCGGGCGGGACCGAGAGCGGCGGCCCGCTCACTCAGCCGGAAGACAGCGGAAGGTTTTGAAGTCCGATTCTTTAGGACTTATCGGAACAAATTAGTTTTAAGAATAAACAGTTGGAAAAATCAAAAATGAAAACAAATTAGCTCCACGGGACAGCAACTTTCAGATTCAAAACTTCCGGGGTCCAGGAGAGCATGCGCAGTGGAGAACAACCAAACTACTCTGAAAACATCAACTTTTAACATCTTTTTGGTTAACTGAAAAATTTCCATACAAGAAACATTTCAACGCATTTTACCTCATAATGGATAAAAAGTTTAATTCTGCATATCTGCTTTCACTTTATTGCGTTCATAATTTTAATGGGTGGGCTACTTGTGTTACTGAAAATACAACTAAGTTGGTGAATGAAAGCAAAAAAAATTTCAAAATTATAGTTTTTGATTAATAAACCATCTAAATATTCGTATGTAAAAATCGCTTTTAATAATTTATTTTAAAAGAGGAAGAAAAGAAATTTAAAAATAAATAACGGCCAAGTGTGCTTTGTACGCATGCGCCAAACCTTCATGACGCGTTGACGTCATATCGCAGTGTAAACAGCCGTTAGGACATTTAAAGAGCCGCTGCGAAGCCTTCCTGTAGTTCAGGTAACATAGTCACTTATTTTTTTGAAAAGTAAATGGTCAACATGTTTTTATGAACTCTGATAGAAAGTTTCATAATTATTGTCCCAGTTTATCTGGGATTAAGAGCCTGAAACAGTTCATGAGGAACTCCGGGGAATAGAGGAAATGTGGCCGAAAAATGTCAAATATTCTGTCAATGATGGACAACAAAGTCTGTGTGCTCACAAACCCACTGCTGACAAAAACGAACCGGGTCTAATATTCTGAAGGGACGTTGTGGTCCAAAGAGAAACACCTGCAGGGCTGGTCTGAAGTCCGGAGGGGCCCTGGGCTCACTGTAACCCCCTAACCCCCAGTTTTATCCTTTTCAAGTTTATGTGTTTGTATTGACTTGTTTATTTATATTTATATCGACTTATTTGGGCTGGCCCAGGGCCAGTCCAGGGCCAGTCCAGGGCCAGTCCAGGGCCAGTCCAGGGCCAGTCCAGGGCCAGTCCAGGGCCAGTCCAGGGCCAGTCCAGGGCCAGTCCAGGGCCACAGGAGTCATCCAATCAGCATGGACTTTCCTCAGCATGGCGTGGTTTGGCATAGACTAAGTAGGTGTGATGGTGAGCAATATTAGCATAACCAGGGTAATTATTTAACCTTTTGCCCCAGAAAAGTTCTCAGAGTGGGTTTCTCTTTAAATAAGGTAAGCTTCATATTGTGTCTTGTTTCATTTCATAAGTGTGATTGTACAGAAACGCGTTGCTACAGAAACGCTTTGCTACAGAAACGCGTTGCTACAGAAACGCGTTGCTACAGAAACGCGTTGCTACAGAAACGCGTTGCTACAGAAACGCGTTGCTACAGAAACAGCTTTAAATGTATATTTGTGTTTTCTTCTTCTTCTTTGTAATTTCTGGGTTTTGTTCAGCTGGTTTCCTGTCAGATTATTTCACTAAAAATGAAACCATCTTTACTTCCAAGGGAAGCTTCCTGTTTTTGGAGGAAGATTTTTCTCGCTCCTCTGGACCTGAGCAGTGGTTCTGGTTCTGGTTCTGCTCCAGGCTCAGCTCCCCTCCAGCTGTGTAAGTGGGTGTGTGTCTCAGGCGGTCCGCCCCGTTGCAGTATTATGCAGCATGAGTGTGCGGGGCCCTCCTCAGTGTTTCTGCTCTGTGAGCGAAGAGCCGGCCTGACGTCCCTGGAACCTTGCGGCTCCCAGAACTTCGCAGAGACTCTTCCCACGGAGATGAGCGTGAGGATTTTCAGAGAGCTGGACGCAGAAAGCCTGTGCCGAGCCTCGAGGACATGCAAACTGTGGCGCTCCATCATCGATGACAACGAGCAGCTGTGGAGGCAGCAGTGCATGCTGGTCCGGGCCGTGTGTCGCCGGGAGGTGGACAGCGACCGCAGCGACGGCCTCTCCTGGAAGGTGAGTCTGCTGCTAATTTACTTGGCTGTTTTGTAAACATTCAGTTGAATAAAGTTTGATATCCATGTTGAAGCTGGTTATCAGATGTTGAGAGGACTTTGAGCAGTTGGTATTCATTACGCTTTTATTTTGAAGTAGGTGAAGTCTGTTTAGGTAGCATTTCCGTTTCCTGTCCTCATGATGCGCTGCAGCTGAAGACTTTTATTCTGTTGTGGAACTACAGGCTGGATCATCACAGTTGAAGCTAATGCTAACACACAAGCTTCTGCTAAATGCCATGATTAACCTAAAGCTAATCATTAGCCTAAAGCTAATGATTAGAGCTTTAGGCTTTGTGCAGCTAGCTTTAGCTAGCACAGTGAGTAACGAGGAAAACATGACTGTAAAGTTTTGATTTTCAGCTGCATTCTGGATGTTTGTCATCAGATGGAAACATTTTCAGTGGAACAGAAAGCTCCAGTTTGATGTTCAAACCTGATGGAGCCTCACGTTTTTGTCTCTGAGCCTCTTCCTGTTTCATTGGCTGCAGATCAAAGCTCTGCTGCTTCCTGTTTCCTTTTCTCTGTGGTCATTTTAATGGTGGCCGGTCTGCAGACAGGAAGCTGATGGTGCTTCCTTCCCCACCAGGTGACCCTGCTGAGGAACTACAGCCGCAGCCGGGTGAAGGCGGCCTGGCTAGCCGGCCGCTACAGCGGCGTTCGCTCTGCAGATGAGCTGCTGGGCAGCAAGATGGCGCCGCTGGACGCAGAGACCTGGGGGGAGATCCTGCAGGCGGAGCTCGACAGATGATAGAGACGATGATGACGCACTTCTCCCTGATTTTGATTCTAACATGTTTTTTTCTCTGAGTTCACTTTAATGCAACACAGATGACTGTATGTACATATTTAATGATTTTAAAGAAATCTGATCATGGTGGATGAATTTGGTGTAAATATATGTGAGCTGGAAGTTCTGTTTACAGTCCACTTCCTGTTTCCTGTCTGAGATCTGAGTGATGTTAGTGGGACATCAGACGGCAGAACCAGCTGGTCCGGATCGGAACGCCCCCTGGCGGCCGGTCTGGACATGGCAGCATCATTCCTCCATGTCTGATCCTGCTGGGTTCTGATTGGTTCCTGAATGAAACAGCCAATCATCATGCATCAATCATCATTTATCTACAGAGAAAGCTTCGTAAAACACATTTATTAATGCTGCTGTTGATCATAGCGGTCTCACATTCATCTAGTAAAATGAATTAAATGTAAACTTGCAGAATTTAAATCATTTAAATTCTGCTGAATGAACCGACCAGAAGGTTCTGGAGGAGTGAAACTGATCCTCAGTTTGAAGCCCATCAACTGGTATAAACAGAGCTGAGAGTCAGGACTTGTTAAACTGGAACCTGGTTGGCTTGGTTGGCCTGGTTTGGCCCGGTTGGGCCCCACTTCATGATGAAACATAAATCATCATCTTCCCTGGAAGCAGACAGACGTTTTCAAGCGAAAACTGTTTCTGCAGAGCATCACGTGTTTCAACTGGAGCATTTTGTTTGTGAAAATGTGGTGAAGTTTGGAAAAGCGCGTTAGCATTCAGGCTCTGGATTACACTGTAAAACTGAAAACCTGAAAAAATCTGCATAAAACTTCAGTCATGATTTAAAAACATAAGACACAAAATCTGAGTAATTTGACAAGAGCTGAACGACTGATTAAAAGTTTGATGGTTTTCTATGTGGCTGAAATGTCGATACTATTTGAAATATATCAGATTGTATAATAGTTGAAACGACCACAAGTCAAAGAAGAAGCTGAACATTTTGATATGAATTATTGAACACTGATAATCGATCACCGTAAATTAAGTTTGAAGGAAATTAAAAACACAAGAAGAGAAATAATGATGACAATGTGATGCAAGCATTTAAAAACTGAAACCATTCGACACTTTATGAGCTTAAATAACTAAAATGACATGAAGCTCCAGATATGATCGCATGGAAAAAGTCAGAATCTTAAAAAATAAACAAACCTAAATTAATAAATTCGGAAATGACATCATCAGTGTTGAGCCAGGGCTGGCTCCGCTCTTATTGTGAAAGGTGCGACCGGAAGCCGCTGGTCCCTCTCAGCATCCTCTCCTCCAGCAGCCAGAGCCGCATCCCGGGAACATGGACGACGTCCCGCCGATCATCAGCATCCAGGTCGCGCTCCGGATCCAGCCGAACGACGGGCCCGTCTTCTTCAAGGTGGACGGAACCCGGTTCGGCCAGAGCCGAACCATCAAGCTGCTGACGGGATCCAAGTACCGGGTCGAGGTGGCGGTGAAGCCCGGAGCCCTGGAGGCCACGTAAGATCCCTGCGCGCTGCGCTGGAGGGAGGGAGGGAGGGGTCAGAGGTCATCAGGACAGGAGAGACCCGCTGGATCTGCAACCTCTTCTTCCTCCTCCTCCTCCTCTTCCTCCTCCTCTTCCTCCTCCTCCTGCAGGCCGCAGCAAACGACACCCCTGAATTAATGATGCGGGATCAGGTTGGATGTTTCGGTTGCAGATGGTTTGAAACTCCTTCAGAGAAATCAGCCAATATTTCCAATAATTGTTGGTAATAATTGGACAGCAAAACCTGCAGGTGATTCAGATTTACCTGGAGTCACGTGTTTGTCGTCACTGCAGGGCGGCGCAAAAAACATCAATAATTCCCTTTTCTTCTTTATTTTTTATGATGTGCTAATAACAAAAAAATAATTATCTATAATTTTCTCTTTTAATCTCTTCACCAAAACAGAAAAAAACAAAACAAATTATATATCAATATCGTGTTTTTCTTAAAGAAGAAAAATCTAATTTTATTTTTTTCTTTATTTCTTGGTGTAACTTCAGAAAAAAATAAATGACAAATCATTTATTAGGGTTTGAAAACAAAAGAAAAACATTTTTAGGATGTTACCACTAACAGAAAAATAGAAGTTATATATGTAATTATTTTGAATGTATTTATTTATTGATTAAGTTTTTGTCTTGATTGTCAAGACAGTCTTTGTATGGGGGCAGGGGAGTATATTCCAGGTGGGGCCACAGCCCCCTAAAGCCCCCCTCAGAATATTTCAGAAGCTTTTCTGGAAAATTGATTCCAAATTCAACAGGAAAAATTCAGGAAAATTTCTGACTCACGTTCCTCCGGCTCTGAATCCAGGTTCCGGTTCAGAGTCTGACCCCTGAGGTCATGTGACGAGCGCTTCCTCTTCCTGCTTTTCCTCGCAGCAACATGAACATCGGAGGAATCGTGTTCCCTCTGGAGCAGCAGTCCAGAGACGAGGAGTCGGTGGTTTACCACGGGCGCTACGACACCGAGGGCGTCCCACACACCAAGAGCGGAGACCGCCAGCCCATCCAAGTCAGCATAGAGGTGAGGTCATGACCCCAAGGAGGTACTGAGACCTGAGAGTTCAGAAGAACATGGAGGCTCTGCTGACCTTTAACCTCTGAGAATCTGGAGCCTTGATTTATTCTCAGGGCTCCATTTACATCAGACCCACCAAGAAATCACCACATTTCACGCTCTGCATATTTTATTATAATGTAACCCAATAATCAGTCTGACCAGCAGAACCAGTCTGACCAGCAGAACCAGTTCGACCAGCAGAACCAGTCTGACCAGCAGAACCAGTCTGACCAGCAGAACCAGTTCGACCAGCAGAACCAGTCTGACCAGCAGAACCAGTCTGACCACTAAAAGCAGACATTTCTAGCTGTTACACATAGATAGAAATGTCTGCAGCAAGGCCAGCCTCAGGTTCTGAACAGCTAACTGCAGGTGGACCGGACCGGACCGGACCGGACCAGGAGCACAAAATCCTGCCTGTTTTTAAATCCCAAACTAACAGATTGAGTTCAGCAGAAGAACCTGAACATGAACAGTTCTGATGCTGGTTCTGATGCTGGTTCTGGTTCTGTCTCTGCAGTTCAACAAGGCCGGGTCGTTCGAGACGGTCTGGCAGGTCAAGTTCTACAACTACTACAAGCGGGAGCACTGCCAGTTCGGCAACAAGTTCAGCAACATCGAGTACGAGTGCAAACCCAACGAGACCCGGACCCTGATGTGGATCAACAAGGAGGTCTTCAACTGAGCCGGACCAGAACCGCTCCCCGTTCCTCTGCCCCGCCAGAACCGGCTGCTCTTCAGCTGAACACTGGGTCCGGTTCTGAGACTGGGTCCGGAGCAGAACCGGTTTGCATCTGTTCACTAAAGACCAGAATGAAGAGCGGTTCTGTTTAAAGGTTCTGATCCAGTCCTACATGGTTTACTTCAATGCAGCCAAATTAAACTGGTCAAACTGGTCCGGTTGTCCAGATTCAGTCCATCCCACCCCCACCAGAACCGGGACATCTGAGCCGGATTGGGCTCATGTTTGATTTATCTGGCTGCTTGGAAGGAAAACCCGGGCCAGATCAGAACTTTGGACCAGGACCGGATCCGTTTGAGTGTTCTGATTGTGTTCTGTTTGTTTTTGTTTCATTGAGAAACTTTGAGTCCAGTCGGACTTGTGTGGGACTACTTTCAGCAGCGGAGGAATCCGTCATCTGCTGAGAGGAGGACTTCCTCTTCTTCTTCTGTGGTTTTCTCCTCCTGCGGCGCTTCTCTCTGCTGCAGCCGCTGATTTCATAGAATCATTTTGCCAAATCTGAAATGTTGCTTCTTGTTTTGTATTCATCCGTAGCCGTGAATAAAGCCGAGTTCTGGAGTTCCTGTGGGCCTCATGACTGACCCAACCGGATCCGGTCCAGGTCGGGGCCGACGAATCAGACAGGAAGTCAGAACCAGGAGCAGTCCTCTTTATGTTGATAAAAACTGATCACTTTAGAGTCTAAGCTCAGTCCATTGGAACGGGTCAGTACCAGAACCAGACCCAACTGTGACCCAACAAATCCTTTATTTTAAGGATCATTTAGTTAAAAAACAAACAGAATATGAACATTTTCATCCTCTGTCAGCATGTTAACATGTTGTTGACACGCTGACACCGTTGAGTCGCGCGGTCAGACCCGAACAGAAAGAACGGCTCCCCACAGGGGCGGGGCCAGAAAAATGTTCCCCACAGGGGCGGGGCCAGAAAAATGTTCCCTATAGGGTCGGGCCAGAAAAATGTTCCCCACAGGGGCGGGGCCAGAAAAATGTTCCCTATAGGGGCGGGGCCAGAAAAATGTTCCCTATAGGGGCGGGGCCAGAAAAATGTTCCCCACAGGGGCGGGGCCAGAAAAATGTTCCCCACAGGGGCGGGGCCAGAAAAATGTTCCCCACAGGGGCGGGGCCAGAAAAATGTTCCCTATAGGGGCGGGGCCAGAAAAATGTTCCTGGGGGTGGTACCATGCAGCGAGCATTGATCAGCGTTGGAGCCTCCAACCTCCAGTATTTTGTCTTTGGGTCACTTCCTGAATACTCACATGTCATGTCTGGGAGCCGGTTCTGTTGGAGGGATCTGGGTTGGGATTGGATGTGATCACTCTGCAGTGAACGTTGCAGAGCTTTATAGGCTGAACGACGAATGAAGTGAACAGGAAACCTCTTATTGCAGTAAACAATCAATATTGTTAATTCACTTTTTGCTGGTTGTTGCCTTTGGGCTTGATGGAGTCATAACACTAAATATGTTGATACAATTTTAATGGTCAATTAAATATTTACTTAGCGACTTGCTTTGCTAACTAGTTTGAAATGGTGACATTTATAAATGAACTGGATGCTGTTAGCTTTTGACTTGGTCCTCAGTTTGGAGACAGGAAGCTGCAGATGGTTCATCAGGTCACTGCAGCTCAGGAAACTTTTCTTAACTTCAGATTCAATTAGGTTTAAATCGGTAACTGAGCGCTCAGTGGGAAGGAGGCTGCTGAGGCCTTAAAGGGACAGTACAACAGGAAGCACGTCCAGAAACCGTTGAACTGCTCCTGATGACGTCACTGAAGGCAGATTGATTCCAGTCCGCCAGAAATCATCAATTTATAGATAAAACATAACACAGAGGAAGAAATAACTGTGATGATGTTTCTGAAACTTGGAAAAACATTTGGAAGGAATTTTCATTTTAGAACAGAAACAAACAGAACCGATAGAGAAAGAGTCCAAAGTCCTGCTGCGGCTTGTCCTGCGGTCCCTGAACACATCATCGCCGGTTTAAATCTATAACATAATCAACTGGTTCCGGTCCGGGTCAGCCGGTTCCGGTCCGGGTCAGCCAGTTCCGGTCGGGGTCAGCCGGTTCCGGTCCGGTCCAGCCGGTTCTGGTCCGGTCCAGCCGGTTCCAGTCGGGGTCAGCCGGTTCCGGTCAGAGTCAGCCGGTTCCGGTCCGGTCCGGGCCAGCCGGTTCTGGTCCGGTCCGGTCCGGCCGGTTCCGGTCCGGTCAGAGTCAGCTGGTTCCGGTCCGGCCGGTTCCGGTCCGGGCCAGCCGCCGTCGCCGCCTCTCCAGCGCCTGCTGCTTCTTCAGCTATTTCTGAGGCCGAACATTTCCCTGCAACAACAGGAAATGACATCGTCAACTCCAGCTATGACATCACACTGTCCAGCTGTTTCCATGGGAACAGGAGGTCGGGCGGGGTAACTGATGACCCGGGTCTCACCTTTCTCAGTTGCCATGGTGAAGGTGAAGTACCGGGCGTCTTTGGGTTGCGGCGCCGAAGACGGTTCTGACCCGGTTTTGTTCCTGAAAACGACAGCAGGCAAAGGCAGCTGGAAGCCGATTGGCTGCTTCAGCGGCGCGGCAGCCAATGAGCAGCTCGCTGGTCCGGGCGGGTCCGGTGGGATCCGGTTTCCAGAGGTTCTGTGGGTTGGCTGCGGCGCCGCCGTCTGGTCGGACCCGGTCCGGTCCGTTTGGACCTGGATTCGGTTCTCCAGGTCTTCACACATCTCACACAGCAGGTCGTCAGCCAGGCCGTCCCAGACTGGTTCCGACCGGAACACGGAGTCCAGATCGCCCAGAACGTCCAGCCCATCAGGACCGGCCCGGTTCCTTGGGTCGCTCCAGAACCATTGGGTTTCTGGTTCCAAGCTGCACGTCTGACCCGGTTCTGGAGCTCTGGAGGCGGAGGAGAACCGGTTCTGTTCTGATCTCGTTTGGACCCACTTCCCAGAACCAGAACTCCAGCCCGGGTTCCAGGCTGGGTCCAGGTTTTCTTTCTCAATTCTGGTTCCGACTAACGGAGCAACCCAACCCTGACCAGAACCAGCCGGGTTCTGGGTGGAGCAGAGCTTCGGAACCAGGAAGCGGTCCGGGTTTTGGGTCATCTCCAGAACCAGCGCATCGTTCAGCAGGTCATCGTTCTCCCAGTCGTCTTCTAACTGGTTCTGAACCAAACCGGGTCCACGGCACGTCCCGGAGGCGGCCGGACCGGAACCACACTGGGACGCTGAACCGGGTCGGTTCTGAGTCGGACCTCGACTCAGGGTTCTGCTCGGCGTCTGGGTCGGATCGTCAAACAGAAAGTCCAGGTCGTCCTGCAGGAAATCTGGGTTAGACCGGGGTTCCGGTACAAAAGAACTAGGCCCCTGACCTTCCCCAGTCAGAAACTCCTCCAGGTTCTGGTTCTGGAACAGGTTCTGGTCCAGCTGCCTGGCGAGTCGCAGCAGGTTCTCCACTCCAGTCGCTCTGCAGGAGACAGAACCAAAGTTAAATTCTGGTTCTGGAGCGTTTCCATCCGGCCACTCGGTTCTGGATCTCAACTTCTGCCAGAGCTAATGTTCAGAACCGGGCCTCCAGAACCCACCTGGGAGAGCGCTTGTTGGCCCGCGGGCCCTGAGGGTCCGGAGTGCAGGACAGGGCGGCGCTGTCTCCGATCCACTGCTGCAGCGCCGGTTCGCTGACCCGAGGCCGGCCGTGCTGCAGACACAACCAAAACATTAGCCAGGGTTCTGGTCTGGCCCGGTTCCACCAGACCCAACCAGACGCCGCTGACCTTTGGAGCGATCCTGGTGACGATCTCTGAGATGTTCACGGCGCCTCCAGCGGCGACCTTTTTCCCTACTGTTCCTGAACGCAACACAAGCAAAGTCAAGGAACCGCAGGAGGCGGAGAACCGGGAGGTTCTGCCAGAACCTTACCGGATCGGCAGGGCGGCGTCGGGGACGCGGCGTCCCAGACGATGTCCTGCTGGAGATCCGGGTCGTTATACGGGGAGTCCGGACCCGGAACCGAACTGGGTTTGGTTCCTGGGATCCTGGTGGGGTCTTGAACTCTATGAAGGTGAAACTGTTAGAATCTGATCCCCGAACATTTCCACGAACAGAACCGAGTGAGCAGAACTCTGATAGTGGAGAAAACGTCCCGATTACAGTCATCAGATTTCACCGAACCGAACCGAACCCTGACTGTCTGGGTTCTGACAGACAACTAAACTCAAACATTTCGAGATATTTAAATCGGCTCTGACAAATCAGAAATCTGTTCGGTGCCGAATAGAAGTCTGAACAGAACTCTTTGTAATATCATTGTTTCTGGATCGGAACCGGCTCACCAGCGGATAACTCTGGAGAAAACCTAAAACCAACAGATTCTTGAATGGAATCAGACGGACAGCCTGAACCGGGTCCCGAACAGAACCTATCGGTACCGACCTGGTTCTGTCTGATTCCGGGCGGACTCCAGAACCTCCGCCGGTCCCGTCTGGCTCCGTCTGCGGCTCAGGCGGTTCCTCCTGGGAGCTCCGACCGCCGCCAGCGGCTCCAGCCGCCTTCGGCCTCCGTTCATACGGATGAAACTCTCACTGACGTCAGTTCAAAATGATTTTGGAATTTGAACATCGCGCCATGTTGTCTGTTTCCCAGAGTTCCTTTCGGCAATGGGTTCAAGAGCGTCGACATGACATAAAGAGGAGACCCCGGATTGGCTGCCCTGCAGAAACACGGCGGCCATCTTGGAGCGGTCGTCCCTCGGCACCGCCAGATGTTTCTGTTCAGATCGACACGTTGTTGTCGTGAGATCTCGGAGGGAAACTTTTCACAAGGAAGATGGACATATTTATATTTTGTGCCAGCTAATATTTCTTTGCTGTAATCCCGAGCAAATACCGAGGCTTTGTGAATCTTTAAAAGCTTTAATTATTTCCTAACAAGTGTAATTCCTTCACTTGTCTAAAGTTTTTGTGTTGAAGGTTTCAGAAAGACGATGTGAGGAAGAAAAGGGAAATGAGACGATTCACTGCACTGATGAATCTCTGAGATGTGTAGTTTAATGCATATTGTTCAGTATTGATCATTATCTAATCATATTTGTTTCTCTATGATTGTATTCATATTACTAAATAATAAATAAAAATGTTGACTGGTTGTCTGCTTTGTAAAATGATCATCATACATCAATATTAAAACATTATATTCCAACTGTATCATGTTTTCTCCACAAAGCCTATTGAACCATGCATTAGTCAATTCGTCCATCCATACATCATCTGGGTCGGGTCGGGTCGAGGGGGTAGCAGGTCAAGAAGGGAGGCCCAGACTTCCCTCTCCCAGCCACTTATTCCAGCTCCTCTAGGGGAATCCCAAGCCGTTCCCAGGCCAACCGGGAGACATAGTCCCTCCAGCGTGTCTTCCCCAGGGCCTCCTCCCGGTGGGACGTGCCCGAAACACATCAGCTGGGAGGCGTCCAGGAGGCATCCTGACCAGATACCCGAGCCTCAACTGGTTCCTCTCAATGTGGAGGAGCAGCGGCTCTACTCTGAGTCCGTCCAGGATGACTGACCTTCTCACCCTATCTCTAAGTGAGAGCCCAGCTCCCTACGGAGAAAACCCATTTCAGCCGCCTGTATCTGCAATCTCTTTCTTTCGGTCATGACCCAAAGCGCATGACCACAGATGAGGGTAGGAACATAAATCGACCGGTAAATCGAGAGCTTCGCTTTTTGACTCAGCTCTCTCTTCACCACGACGGACCTTACAGCGCCCGCTTCACGGCGGACGCTGCGCCAATCCGCCTGTCAGTCTCCCACTCCCTTCTTCCCCCATTCATGAACAAGATCCCAGATACTTGAACTCCTCCTCTTGGGGCAGGACACCCCCCTCGATCCGGAGAAGGCACTCTACCCTTTTCCGGCTCAAGACCATGGTCTCGGACTTGGAGACACTGATCCTCATCCCGGCCGCTTCATCCTGCACGCTGCGAACCGCTCCAGCGAGAGAGAGTCACGTCCCGATGAAGCCAACAGGACCACATCATCCGCAAAAAGCAGAGATGAATCCTAAGGCCACCAAAACGGATCCCCTCAACACCTCGGCTGCGCCTAGTCCACAAAACAAATGTGGACTGGTTGGGCAAACTCCAATGTACCCTCCAGGACCCTGCTGAGGGTGTAGAGCTTGTCCAGTGTTCCACGACCAGGACGAAAAACACACTGCTCTTGCAGAATCCGAGGTTCAACTATCCGACGGAGCCTCCTCTCCAGGACCTCCGAATAGACTTTGCCAGGGAGGCTTAAGAGTGTGACCCCTCTATAATTGGAGCACACCCTCTGATCCCCCGTTTTAAACAGGGGGACGCCACCCCGGTCTGCCAATCCCGGGGAACTTCCCCCGATGTCCATGCGATACTGCAAAGTCGCGTCAACCAACACAACCCAACCACATCCAGAGCCTTAAGAAACTCTGGGCAAATCTCATCCACCCCCGGGGCTCTGCCACCGAGGAGCTTTTTAACCACCTCGGCGACCTCGTCCCCAGAGATTGGAGAGCCTGACGCAGAGACCTCGGGCTCAGCTTCCTCAATGGAAGGCATGTCAGTGGGATTGAGGAGGTCTTCAAAGTATTCTGCCCGCCGGCCCACAATGTCCCGAGTCGAGGTCAGCAGCACACCATCCCCACTGTAAACAGTGTTGGTGCTGCACTGCTTCACGGAACATGGTCCGCTCAGACTCAGTGTCCCCTACGTCCCCCGCGACGTGTTTGAAGTTCTGCCAGAGATGGGAGTTAAAGCTCCATCTCGCAAGGGACTCCGCCAGACATTCCCAGTAAACCGTCACAACAGGTTTGGGGCTGCCAGGTTTGACCAGCATCCTCCCCCACCACCGGAGCCAACTTACCACCAGGTAGTGGTCACTGGACAACTCCATACCTCTCTTCACCCGAATGTCCAAGACATACGGCCACAGATCTGATGAAACGATGACAAAATCCATCATTGAACTGCGACCTGGGGTGTCCTGGTGCCAAGTGCAGATATGGACACCCTTATGCCTGAACATGGTGTTCGTTATGGACAATCCGTGACGAGTACAGAAGTCCAGCAACAGAACACCACCAGAGTTCAGACTGGGGAGAGCGTTCCTCTCAACTACACCCCTCCAAGTATCACTGTCATTGCCCACGTGAGCGTTGAAGTCCCCCAGTAGAACAAGGGAGTCCCCAGGAGGGTCACTCTTCAGTACCCCCTCTAAAGACTCCAAAAAGGGTGGCTAGACTGAATTGTCGCTCGGCCTGTAAGCACAAGCGACAGTCAGAACCCAGAGGCTACCCTCTCATCCACCGGGTCGTACCACAGCGTACAGGCGCCGAGATGGGGAGCAACAAGTATGCCCACTCCTGCCCGACCTCTCACCGTGGGCTTTTAGCCATGCAGGCTAACCCTAGGGTCCATGGGTAAAAGTCTGGCCACCGGGCGCTCGCCAATGTGCCCCACCTCCAGGCCTGGCTCCAGGGTGGAGCCCCGGTGACCCTCGTGTGGGCGAGGGAACACGAGATCCAAAGTTGCCATTCATCGTTAGGGTTTTCAGGTTGCACTTTGTCTGGTCCCTCACCTAGGACCTGTCTGCCTTGGGTGACCCTACCAGGGTCACGAAGCCCCAGACAGCAAAGCTCTTAGGATCATTGGGACATTCAAACCCCTCCACCATGATAAGGTAGCAGCCCGAGGAGTCAATTCAAAACACTTTAAAATAATGTTCTTGTAAATGTAGCTGTGATAGCTGTTTGAATGAGGTTTACAGCAAAAAATGTGTTAAGTATTTTGCGAGTTATGATCGATTAAATGCGCTGACACTTCATTGCGCCTGTCAAACATATCAGGCTGAGTGGAACGGTTGACCTCTCCAAGATGGCCGCTCTGAATCTAATTAATTGTAGATATCTGAAATGTGGATTTCAGATAATCAATAAATCATTGTAGATATGTTGAAATTAAGTCTCCATACAAAACAATGGTAAATCTCACGTCATTTTGACTGGTCAGAATATAATTAGAGATATCTTAAATTGCTAAAACATCTAGTCATAAAACAATTTGAGATATCTGGAATGTAAGGGCAGTAAAACAGAATTTATGTTAAAACGTTTTGCCATAGAACGGATGTTGTGTCATTTAAGGACATCAGACAAATATTTGTCTCCAGCAGGTGAAGAATGGAACCATTTATTTATTTATTTTTTTGTTTAATAGCAGGCTATGCTAACTGCAGTGGTTGATTGACAGCACTAAGACCCGCCCCCTGACTCTGATTGGTTGTTTCTGACTGATGTTTTCATATTAAACCGTCATTACATGATGTTAAATATATAAAACATAAATTCATAAATATATTTTTGAAATAAATTTAAAACTCTGAATTATGACTTTGTTTTTTTTATTTATTTTTGGAAATGGGTTTCCATCAGGACCCAGTACCGGTACCACCCTGTCATACCAGACCTGGGTCCAGCTCAGAACCACAACCATTAATATGATGATGATGATGATGATGATGATGATGATGATGATGATGATGATGATGATGATGATGATGTTGTGGTGAAGACACGTGATCGTTGCGGTCCTTCGGGTCTGACGTCACCGCCCAGTCCACCATGGAGTGAGGAGGATGGGGATCGTGCGGCGCCTTCCTCCCCGACACCAGAACCTCCTGCTCGGTCTCAGCGGTCCCGGCCCGGTCCGGAGGAGGCGGCGGGGTTGAAGGAGGAGGACGGTCCGATGGGAGGAGGAGGCGGAGGCGTCAGAACCGCATCCACCGCCACCGCCGCTGCTGGCGAACCATCGCCGCACCGCGCGGCGGCCGCGGCGGCTCGACCCAAACGGAGCTGAACCGGAGAAGATGAACGAGGAGGCGCGGCCCGACGAGTGAGTACCGGTTCTGTTCGTGGTTCTGGTTCTTGTGCGGCATCAGGTCTGAGCTCCAGTGATGAAGAGGAGGGTGAGGAGGGCCTCTTCTTCATCACCGAGGCAAGAGGTTCTGGGGATGAGGGTGACCCGGTTCGGTTCTGAAGCTCCGGTTCCTGGAAGGCTGCATGTTATGAGTCATCGTCAGAGTTCGGCCGCTGGTTCCGGTTCCTTGTGGACCTCAGCTGCTCCAGGAAGTTACCCAGCAGAACCCTGGAGGTTCTGGTCAGCTGGGCCGGTCGGCTCACAGAACCAGCAGCAGAAAGCCTGGAGCGGTTCTGATCAGAGCGGGTTCTGTGACGTGGTTCTGATCTCAGTGTAAAGTTTGTTCATTAAATATGGACCAAACTGGGCCCGGTTTCCAGAACCTGACAGAATCAAAACCCAGGAGAACCAGGTCCAGTACTTGGTTCTGTAGAACCAGCCTGTGAGAGAGATCCAGATGGATGAGGTTCAGATGGAGTTGGGCTGATGATCTGGTTCTGGTTCTGGTTCGCTCCCCGTCTCGGCTGTTGGGTCGATCCGACACGGTGAACCCGTCCTGATCTTCTGGTTCTGTTTGGTTCTGTTTTGGTGGGGGCTGTTTCCTCCCTGTGTGGGTTGTGTTCTGATGACCTTTGACCTGTGTTGCAGCGACAGCTACGTGGTGCGGGTCACGGCGGTGGTGATGACCCGGGACGAGTCCAGCGGCGGCTGGCTGGCGCTGGACGGCTGCCTGAGCCGGGTCGGGGTGTGCCGGCTGCGGCCCGACGGGCTGCAGGGCCGGAACTTCCTGATCCACGGGGAGCGGCTCCAGGACCGGCAGGTGGGCTCGGTCGGAACCGGTTCTGCTGGGCCGGTACCGGTCCAGAACACCAGGTGAAAAACAACCAGCAGCGTTTCGAAATCAGAACTTTGTCCCATAAATCTGCAACAAATGAAAAATCCAGTCAGGCAGAACCGTCCTGATCCGGTTTGGGTTTTTCAGAGGAGAAAAACTTCAGCTTTAGGTTTTCATTGCTCAGTTAAAGCGCTCACTAGATTTATAGATCTATACTAGATTTTATAGATCTATACTAGATTTATAGATCTATACTAGATTTATAGATCTATACTAGATTTATAGATCTATACTAGATTTATAGATCTATACTAGATTTTATAGATCTATACTAGATTTATAGATCTAGTATAGATCTATAAATCTAGATCAACCATTAATATGATGATGATGATGATGATCATGTGTAACTAGAGCTGCTTCAAACCGCAACACAAATACTGACAAGATTCAAAGCAACAGGATTTATGCTGGAAACCAACTGAACCAGTTTAATCCTGTTTGCTTCTGTTTTCTGCTCCGTCTTTGTTTCTGGGCTCTCAGGTGATTCTGCAGTGTTTCCTAAAGAAAGACCTGGTCTACACAAAGGCCACGCCCACCTTCCACCACTGGCAGGTGGACAACAAGAAGTGCGGCCTGACCTTCCAGTGTTCGTCCGACGCCCGCGCCTTCGACCGCGGCGTGAGGCGAGCGCTGGAGGACCTGGCAGAAGGTACGACAGGAAACGCTTTGACGAGGCAACCTCCGTCCTCCAGGGGGCGACTGGGGACATCAGAGGGACACATTGAGGACATTAGAGGGACACATTGAGGACATTAGAGGGACACATTGAGGACATTAGAGGGACACATTGAGGACATTAGAGGGACACATTGAGGACATTAGAGGGACACATTGAGGACATCAGACGGACACATTGAGGACATTAGAGGGACATCCTGAGGACATTAGAGGGACATCCTGAGGACATTAGAGGGACACATTGAGGACATCAGACGGACACATTGAGGACATTAGAGGGACACATTGAGGACATCAGAGGGACACATTGAGGACATTAGAGGGACATCCTGAGGACATTAGAGGGACACATTGAGGACATCAGAGGGACATCCTGAGGACATTAGAGGGACAAATTGAGGACATTAGAGGGACACATTGAGGACATTAGAGGGACACATTGAGGACATCAGACGGACACATTGAGGACATTAGAGGGACATCCTGAGGACATTAGAGGGACCCTAAGGACATCAGAGGGACACATTGAGGACATTAGAGGGTCATCCTGAGGACATTAGAGGGACATCCTGAGGACATTAGAGGGACCCTAAGGACATCAGAGGGACACATTGAGGATATTAGAGGGACATCCTGAGGACATTAGAGGGATCCTAAGGACATCAGAGGGACACATTGAGGACATTAGAGGGACATCCTGAGGACATTAGAGGGACCCTAAGGACATCAGAGGGACACATTGAGGACATTAGAGGGAGAGCCTGGTCTTTGTGTCCTTCTGTTAAAGGACGGTGTCCTTCCAGAGACAAAGTGTCCCTGGGTGAGACAGGATCTCTGACTGCGTCTTCAAAGCGAGAGCTGTGTTCCTGCCACCACAGGGGGCGCCTTGATCCTGATCCCACTGGAAGTCGGTGGTTTGGGGCCCTTGTCGGGACGGGAGGAGGTCCTGGCAGAACCAGAACCTGCAGGAAGCAGGATATGTCCCTTTTGGCTGGGGACACCATTGGATCCCTCAGAGGAGAGCCATGTTGGATTTCTCTCCTGTTGCCATGCCAACCTGGTCTCTGATAAGCAGCAGCCAATGGGAGATGGAGGTTCATCTCCGATTCCCCGAGGAAACGACGGAACCGGAGAAGGATCCGTGTCAAAAGAGAGCAGAAGCCTGAAGTGAGGCCAACCTTCCTGCTCCGTCCTGAACCGGGCCCACGGCGGTTCCTGTAGCGCTTCCTGTAGCGTTTCCTGTAGCGCTTCCTGTAGCGCTTTCTGTAGCGCTTCCTGTAGCGCTTTCTGTAGCGCTTCCTGTAGCGCTTCCTGTAGCACTTCCTGTAGCGCTTCCTGTAGCGCTTCCTGTAGCGCTTCCTGTAGCGCTTTCTGTAGCACTTCCTGTAGCGCTTCCTGTAGCGCTTCCTGTAGCGCTTCCTGTAGCGGTTCCTGTAGCGCTTCCTGTAGCGTTTCCTGTAGCGCTTCCTGTAGCGCTTTCTGTAGCGCTTCCTGTAGCGCTTCCTGTAGCGCTTCCTGTAGCGCTTTCTGTAGCGCTTCCTGTAGCGCTTCCTGTAGCACTTCCTGTAGCGCTTCCTGTAGCGCTTCCTGTAGCGCTTCCTGTAGCGCTTTCTGTAGCACTTCCTGTAGCGCTTCCTGTAGCGGTTCCTGTAGCGCTTCCTGTAGCGGTTCCTGTAGCGCTTCCTGTAGCGCTTCCTGTAGCGCTTCCTGTAGCGGTTCTTGTAGCGGTTCTTGTAGCGCTTCATGTAGCGCTTCCTGTAGCGCTTCCTGTAGCGGTTCTTGTAGTGCTTCCTGTAGCGGTTCCTGTAGCGGTTTTGTGTAGCGCTTCCTGTAGCGCTTCCTGTAGCGGTTCTTGTAGCGGTTCTTGTAGCGCTTCATGTAGCGCTTCCTGTAGCGCTTCCTGTAGCGGTTCTTGTAGCGGTTCTTGTAGCGCTTCATGTAGCGCTTCCTGTAGCGCTTCCTGTAGCGGTTCTTGTAGTGCTTCCTGTAGCGGTTCCTGTAGCGGTTCTTGTAGCGCTTCCTGTAGCGCTTCCTGTAGCGGTTCTTGTAGCGGTTCTTGTAGCGCTTCATGTAGCGCTTCCTGTAGCGCTTCCTGTAGCGGTTCTTGTAGTGCTTCCTGTAGCGGTTCCTGTAGCGGTTCTTGTAGCGGTTCTTGTAGCGCTTCCTGTAGCGGTTCTTGTAGCGGTTCTTGTAGCAGTTCTTGTAGCGGTTCCTGTAGCGGTTCTTGTAGCGGTTCTTGTAGCGCTTCCTGTAGCGGTTCTTGTAGCGGTTCTTGTAGCGGTTCTTGTAGCGGTTCCTGTAGCGGTTCTTGTAGCGGTTCTTGTAGCGCTTCCTGTAGCGGTTCTTGTAGCGGTTCTTGTAGCGCTTCCTGTAGCGGTTCTTGTAGCGGTTCTTGTAGCGGTTCTTGTAGCGCTTCCTGTAGCGGTTCTTGTAGCAGTTCTTGTAGCAGTTCTTGTAGCGGTTCTTGTAGCGCTCCAGCAGCAGGAAAGCTCTGGATCGCCGATCCCTGATCTGCTCTCTGCTCCGCAGGTTCCACCACGTCTTCATCTACGCTGCAGAACGAAGCCGAACTCGGGGACGACGACGTGTTCACGGTGAGGAGCTGCTCTGATGAAGTGGATGTTTAAGATGTGACGACGTTCCATGGTGAACCAGCAGAACCGGTTCTGGTAGAGTCCAGATTAACGCAGCAGGCAGATAAAACAGCAGCTGGAGCCTTTGGAGCCAGAATCTTCATCGACTTACAGGATTTAAAGTAGAGCAGAAACAGGGAGAAAAAGAACAGCTAGATCTGCTGCTTCCTGGGAGGATTTCTACATAGATCCATTATAGAGCAACTATAGATCCGTTATAGAGCGACTATAGATCCGTTATAGAGCGACTATAGATCCGCTGCCTGCTCGTCTCCAGGCTTCGGACATTTAAAGATCCACCCGGATCAGAACTGATGATCTTCGTCTCTCTGCTGTTTCTTCGGCGCCCAGGAGATTAAATCAGCAATACATTTCTGCTAAACCAAAAATACACGGACAAGTAATCCAGTGATCCTTCCATAACCTGAAATGAATAAACATCACAACTAGAATGCTTCCAGTAATGAGTAATTCATTTATAAATTAAATTATTTAATTAAACAAATCAAACTTTTGCATAAGGAAATAATTTACAATAAATACATCTAGATTTATTATTTTGTTTCACAGCATGTATTGGATTCAGCAAGATTCTAAGTGAATAGATATTTAATCGATGTTGAATGAACAATATCCATAAAGAGGATGAGATCATTTTGAGATGTTTTTGAAGGTTGGCTTTGCATTTATACTTGTACCCACTCCTTCAGACCCTACTGAAGAGTACTCACTCTGCAGTACTCACTCTGCAGTAATACTCAGTCTGCAGTAATACTCACTCTGCAGTAATACTCACTCTGCAGTAATACTCAGTCTGCAGTAATACTCACTCTGCAGTAATACTCACTCTGCAGTAATACTCAGTCTGCAGTAATACTCAGTCTGCAGTAATACTCAGTCTGCAGTAATACTCACTCTGCAGTAATACTCACTCTGCAGTAATACTCACTCTGCAGTAATACTCAGTCTGCAGTAATACTCACTCTGCAGTAATACTCACTCTGCAGTAATACTCACTCTGCAGTAATACTCACTGCAGTAATACTCACTCTGCAGTAATACTCAGTCTGCAGTAATACTCAGTCTGCAGTAATACTCACTCTGCAGTAATACTCACTGCAGTAATACTCACTCTGCAGTAATACTCACTCTGCAGTAGTACTCAGTCTGCAGTAATACTCACTCTGCAGTAATACTCAGTCTGCAGTAATACTCAGTCTGCAGTAATACTCACTCTGCAGTAATACTCACTGCAGTAATACTCACTCTGCAGTAATACTCACTCTGCAGTACTCAGTCTGCAGTAATACTCACTCTGCAGTAATACTCAGTCTGCAGTAATACTCAGTCTGCAGTAATACTCACTCTGCAGTAATACTCACTCTGGAGTAATACTCTGCAGTAATACTCAGTCTGCAGTAATACTCAGTCTGCAGTAATACTCACTCTGCAGTAATACTCACTCTGCAGTAGTACTCAGTCTGCAGTAATACTCACTCTGCAGTAATACTCAGTCTGCAGTAATACTCAGTCTGCAGTAATACTCACTCTGCAGTAATACTCACTGCAGTAATACTCACTCTGCAGTAATACTCACTCTGCAGTAGTACTCAGTCTGCAGTAATACTCACTCTGCAGTAATACTCACTCTGCAGTAGTACTCAGTCTGCAGTAATACTCACTCTGCAGTAATACTCAGTCTGCAGTAATACTCAGTCTGCAGTAATACTCACTCTGCAGTAATACTCACTCTGGAGTAATACTCTGCAGTAATACTCAGTCTGCAGTAATACTCAGTCTGCAGTAATACTCACTCTGCAGTAATACTCAGTCTGCAGTAATACTCAGTCTGCAGTAATACTCACTCTGCAGTAATACTCACTCTGCAGTAGTACTCACTCTGCAGTAATACTCAGTCTGCAGTAATACTCAGTCTGCAGTAGTACTCACTCTGCAGTAATACTGACTCTGCAGTAATACTCAGTCTGCAGTAATACTCACTCTGCAGTAATATTCAGTCTGCAGTAATACTCACTCTGCAGTAATACTCACTCTGCAGTAATACTCAGTCTGCAGTAGTACTCAGTCTGCAGTAATACTCACTCTGCAGTAATACTCAGTCTGCAGTAATACTCACTCTGCAGTAATACTCACTCTGCAGTAATACTCACTCTGCAGTAATACTCTGCAGTAATACTCAGTCTGCAGTAATACTCAGTCTGCAGTAATACTCACTCTGCAGTAATACTCACTCTGCAGTAATACTCTGCAGTAATACTCAGTCTGCAGTAATACTCACTCTGCAGTAATACTCACTCTGCAGTAGTACTCACTCTGCAGTAATACTCAGTCTGCAGTAGTACTCAGTCTGCAGTAATACTCACTCTGCAGTAATACTCAGTCTGCAGTAGTACTCAGTCTGCAGTAATACTCACTCTGCAGTAATACTCAGTCTGCAGTAATACTCACTCTGCAGTAATACTCAGTCTGCAGTAATACTCAGTCTGCAGTAATACTCACTCTGCAGTAATACTCACTCTGCAGTAGTACTCACTCTGCAGTAATACTCAGTCTGCAGTAATACTCACTCTGCAGTAATACTCACTCTGCAGTAATACTCTGCAGTAATACTCTGCAGTAATACTCAGTCTGCAGTAATACTCAGTCTGCAGTAATACTCACTCTGCAGTAATACTCTGCAGTAATACTCAGTCTGCAGTAATACTCAGTCTGCAGTAATACTCAGTCTGCAGTAATACTCACTCTGCAGTAATACTCACTCTGCAGTAGTACTCACTCTGCAGTAATACTCAGTCTGCAGTAATACTCAGTCTGCAGTAATACTCAGTCTGCAGTAGTACTCACTCTGCAGTAATACTCACTCTGCAGTAATACTCAGTCTGCAGTAATACTCACTCTGCAGTAATATTCAGTCTGCAGTAATACTCACTCTGCAGTAATACTCACTCTGCAGTAATACTCAGTCTGCAGTAGTACTCAGTCTGCAGTAATACTCAGTCTGCAGTAATACTCACTCTGCAGTAATACTCACTCTGCAGTAATACTCTGCAGTAATACTCACTCTGCAGTAATACTCAGTCTGCAGTAATACTCACTCTGCAGTAATACTCACTCTGCAGTAATACTCTGCAGTAATACTCAGTCTGCAGTAATACTCACTCTGCAGTAATACTCACTCTGCAGTAGTACTCACTCTGCAGTAATACTCAGTCTGCAGTAGTACTCAGTCTGCAGTAATACTCACTCTGCAGTAATACTCAGTCTGCAGTAGTACTCAGTCTGCAGTAATACTCACTCTGCAGTAATACTCAGTCTGCAGTAATACTCACTCTGCAGTAATACTCTGCAGTAATACTCAGTCTGCAGTAATACTCAGTCTGCAGTAATACTCACTCTGCAGTAACTCACTCTGCAGTAGTACTCACTCTGCAGTAATACTCAGTCTGCAGTAATACTCACTCTGCAGTAATACTCACTCTGTAATACTCTGCAGTAATACTCTGCAGTAATACTCAGTCTGCAGTAATACTCAGTCTGCAGTAATACTCACTCTGCAGTAATACTCTGCAGTAATACTCAGTCTGCAGTAATACTCAGTCTGCAGTAATACTCAGTCTGCAGTAATACTCACTCTGCAGTAATACTCACTCTGCAGTAGTACTCACTCTGCAGTAATACTCAGTCTGCAGTAATACTCAGTCTGCAGTAATACTCAGTCTGCAGTAGTACTCACTCTGCAGTAATACTCACTCTGCAGTAATACTCAGTCTGCAGTAATACTCACTCTGCAGTAATATTCAGTCTGCAGTAATACTCACTCTGCAGTAATACTCACTCTGCAGTAATACTCAGTCTGCAGTAGTACTCAGTCTGCAGTAATACTCAGTCTGCAGTAATACTCAGTCTGCAGTAATACTCACTCTGCAGTAATACTCACTCTGCAGTAATACTCACTCTGCAGTAATACTCTGCAGTAATACTCAGTCTGCAGTAATACTCAGTCTGCAGTAATACTCAGTCTGCAGTAATACTCACTCTGCAGTAGTACTCTCTCTGCAGTAATACTCACTCTGCAGTAATACTCAGTCTGCAGTAATACTCACTCTGCAGTAGTACTCTCTCTGCAGTAATACTCACTCTGCAGTAATACTCAGTCTGCAGTAATACTCACTCTGCAGTAATACTCACTCTGCAGTAATACTCACTCTGCAGTAATACTCAGTCTGCAGTAATACTCAGTCTGCAGTAATACTCACTCTGCAGTAATACTCACTCTGCAGTAATACTCACTCTGCAGTAATACTCTGCAGTAATACTCAGTCTGCAGTAATACTCAGTCTGCAGTAATACTCACTCTGCAGTAATACTCTGCAGTAATACTCAGTCTGCAGTAATACTCAGTCTGCAGTAATACTCAGTCTGCAGTAATACTCAGTCTGCAGTAATACTCTGCAGTAATACTCTGCAGTAATACTCAGTCTGCAGTAATACTCAGTCTGCAGTAATACTCAGTCTGCAGTAATACTCACTCTGCAGTAATACTCTGCAGTAATACTCAGTCTGCAGTAATACTCAGTCTGCAGTAATACTCACTCTGCAGTAATACTCTGCAGTAATACTCAGTCTGCAGTAATACTCAGTCTGCAGTAATACTCAGTCTGCAGTAATACTCACTCTGCAGTAGTACTCACTCTGCAGTAATACTCTGCAGTAATACTCAGTCTGCAGTAATACTCAGTCTGCAGTAATACTCAGTCTGCAGTAATACTCACTCTGCAGTAATACTCAGTCTGCAGTAATACTCACTCTGCAGTAATACTCGGTCTGCAGTAATACTCAGTCTGCAGTAATACTCACTCTGCAGTAATACTCACTCTGCAGTAATACTCACTCTGCAGTAATACTCTGCAGTAATACTCAGTCTGCAGTAATACTCAGTCTGCAGTAATACTCACTCTGCAGTAATACTCTGCAGTAATACTCAGTCTGCAGTAATACTCACTCTGCAGTAATACTCAGTCTGCAGTAATACTCAGTCTGCAGTAATACTCTGCAGTAATACTCTGCAGTAATACTCAGTCTGCAGTAATACTCAGTCTGCAGTAATACTCAGTCTGCAGTAATACTCAGTCTGCAGTAATACTCAGTCTGCAGTAATACTCACTCTGCAGTAATACTCTGCAGTAATACTCAGTCTGCAGTAATACTCAGTCTGCAGTAATACTCACTCTGCAGTAATACTCACTCTGCAGTAGTACTCACTCTGCAGTAATACTCAGTCTGCAGTAATACTCACTCTGCAGTAATACTCACTCTGCAGTAATACTCTGCAGTAATACTCTGCAGTAATACTCAGTCTGCAGTAATACTCAGTCTGCAGTAATACTCACTCTGCAGTAATACTCTGCAGTAATACTCAGTCTGCAGTAATACTCAGTCTGCAGTAATACTCAGTCTGCAGTAATACTCACTCTGCAGTAATACTCACTCTGCAGTAGTACTCACTCTGCAGTAATACTCAGTCTGCAGTAATACTCAGTCTGCAGTAATACTCAGTCTGCAGTAGTACTCACTCTGCAGTAATACTCACTCTGCAGTAATACTCAGTCTGCAGTAATACTCACTCTGCAGTAATATTCAGTCTGCAGTAATACTCACTCTGCAGTAATACTCACTCTGCAGTAATACTCAGTCTGCAGTAGTACTCAGTCTGCAGTAATACTCAGTCTGCAGTAATACTCAGTCTGCAGTAATACTCACTCTGCAGTAATACTCACTCTGCAGTAATACTCACTCTGCAGTAATACTCTGCAGTAATACTCAGTCTGCAGTAATACTCAGTCTGCAGTAATACTCAGTCTGCAGTAATACTCACTCTGCAGTAGTATCTCTCTGCAGTAATACTCACTCTGCAGTAATACTCAGTCTGCAGTAATACTCACTCTGCAGTAGTACTCTCTCTGCAGTAATACTCACTCTGCAGTAATACTCAGTCTGCAGTAATACTCACTCTGCAGTAATACTCACTCTGCAGTAATACTCACTCTGCAGTAATACTCAGTCTGCAGTAATACTCAGTCTGCAGTAATACTCACTCTGCAGTAATACTCACTCTGCAGTAATACTCACTCTGCAGTAATACTCTGCAGTAATACTCAGTCTGTAATACTCAGTCTGCAGTAATACTCACTCTGCAGTAATACTATGCAGTAATACTCAGTCTGCAGTAATACTCAGTCTGCAGTAATACTCAGTCTGCAGTAATACTCAGTCTGCAGTAATACTCACTCTGCAGTATAATACTCTGCAGTAATACTCAGTCTGCAGTAATACTCAGTCTGCAGTAATACTCACTCTGCAGTAATACTCTGCAGTAATACTCAGTCTGCAGTAATACTCAGTCTGCAGTAATACTCAGTCTGCAGTAATACTCACTCTGCAGTAATACTCTGCAGTAATACTCAGTCTGCAGTAATACTCAGTCTGCAGTAATACTCAGTCTGCAGTAATACTCACTCTGCAGTAATACTCTCTGCAGTAATACTCACTCTGCAGTAATACTCAGTCTGCAGTAATACTCAGTCTGCAGTAATACTCACTCTGCAGTAATACTCACTCTGCAGTAATACTCACTCTGCAGTAATACTCTGCAGTAATACTCAGTCTGCAGTAATACTCAGTCTGCAGTAATACTCACTCTGCAGTAATACTCTGCAGTAATACTCAGTCTGCAGTAATACTCAGTCTGCAGTAATACTCAGTCTGCAGTAATACTCAGTCTGCAGTAATACTCTCAGTAATACCGTGCAGTAATACTCAGTCTGCAGTAATACTCAGTCTGCAGTAATACTCAGTCTGCAGTAATACTCACTCTGCAGTAATACTCTGCAGTAATAATACTCAGTAATACTCAGTCTGCAGTAATACTCAGTCTGCAGTAATACTCACTCTGCAGTAATACTCACTCTGCAGTAATACTCTGCAGTAATACTCAGTCTGCAGTAATACTCAGTCTGCAGTAATACTCAGTCTGCAGTAATACTCACTCTGCAGTAATACTCAGTCTGCAGTAATACTCACTCTGCAGTAATACTCACTCTGCAGTAATACTCACTCTGCAGTAATACTCACTCTGCAGTAGTACTCAGTCTGCAGTAATACTCACTCTGCAGTAATACTCACTCTGCAGTAATACTCAGTCTGCAGTAATACTCAGTCTGCAGTAATACTCACTCTGCAGTAATACTCACTCTGCAGTAATACTCACTCTGCAGTAATACTCACTCTGCAGTAATACTCAGTCTGCAGTAATACTCAGTCTGCAGTAATACTCACTCTGCAGTAATACTCACTCTGCAGTAATACTCACTCTGCAGTAATACTCAGTCTGCAGTAATACTCACTCTGCAGTAATACTCACTCTGCAGTAATACTCACTCTGCAGTAATACTCACTGCAGTAATACTCACTCTGCAGTAGTACTCAGTCTGCAGTAATACTCACTCTGCAGTAATACTCAGTCTGCAGTAATACTCTGCAGTAATACTCAGTCTGCAGTAATACTCACTCTGCAGTAATACTCAGTCTGCAGTAATACTCTGCAGTAATACTCACTCTGCAGTAATACTCAGTCTGCAGTAATACTCTGCAGTAATACTCAGTCTGCAGTAATACTCACTCTGCAGTAATACTCAGTCTGCAGTAATACTCTGCAGTAATACTCAGTCTGCAGTAATACTCACTCTGCAGTAATACTCACTCTGCAGTAATACTCAGTCTGCAGTAATACTCAGTCTGCAGTAATACTCACTCTGCAGTAGTACTCAGTCTGCAGTAATACTCACTCTGCAGTAATACTCAGTCTGCAGTAATACTCTGCAGTAATACTCACTCTGCAGTAATACTCACTCTGCAGTAATACTCAGTCTGCAGTAATACTCACTCTGCAGTAATACTCACTCTGCAGTAATACTCACTCTGCAGTAATACTCACTCTGCAGTAATACTCAGTCTCCAGTACTTGTACTTTTTATAGTAGCTTTAAGATGCTTAAAGTTCTGAACTGTAGTTGTTTTACTGGACCAATAAAAACATCTCTCTCATTGTGGAGCCAATTCTGGCCTAGTCAAAGGATATAGACCCTTAACATTAGCATCATTAGCATCGTTAGCATTTCTGAAACAATAGCACTGCAATGATGTAAAAATCTATTTAAAACATCATGATAAAGTCCAGTAAACTGTAGATGTGTTTATTTCTTGAGGTTTCCACTGTCTAGTAGCTAGCTGTGTAGGTTAGCTGTACGTTAGCGGTATGCTAAGTGAGCTACTTCCCACAAGTTACTTCTGTAAAGAGGCCGCCCTGCTAGCCTTGGAGCTGCCCTCTTGTGGACGCTGTGGGCATCACAGCCTGAAATTCCTGTGGGTTTCAGTCGCTCCTGTCCTCCTGTCGTCCTGCAGACGGCCACCGACAGCTCGTCCAACTCGTCCCAGAGGAGAGAGCCCGCCATTCACGCACCGCAGGCTCCCTTCTGCGAGCCGCGACGGCACCACTGCATCCTGGGACATTTCTATGAGCACCACCGGCCCTCGGACCACTACTTCCTGGACCCGGTGAGTCCGCAGCGCCTTTGTTCTGATGCTTCTGCGTCAGGGCTGCACAACACAAATATAGTATCAGAGTGGAGAGGAAAAACTGCTGGCTGATTTACTTGACCAGCTCTTAAGTTTAGCCAGTAGGACAGAAAGTCCTGGCAATAAAAACTCAAATCAGACACAAATAGCATTGAAAACCAGGCATATTTTGCTCCTGATGTTGTTATCGCACTACGTGCCAATATTATCGCGACTGGAAGGTTTTCCAGCATCGTGCAGCACCAGCTTGTAGGACCATCAAGGTTTGACTCATGCGCTCCTCTCGGCTCTGGCAGGCAGTCCACATCTTTCCCCGTCACGCCAGCTTCCCTCTGGAGGAGGAGGAGATCATTCGCTTCAGCCCCCGTGAGCGCAGCTGGCTGACCGGCTACGAGGACTACCGTCACGCCAACGCCACGCGAGTCAAGGTCCCGCAGCCGCACAACCCGGACACCTGCGTGCATTTCACCAAGAGCGACGCGCCCAAACGCGACTACACATACCCGTACCCGCTGAGCTGTGGCGTGCAGCGGGGCTTTGACAGCAAGCCAGGCGGCGGCCGCAGGGCGGTGGTGACGCTGCAGCCGCGGCCTCCGGCGTCCAAAGGGAAATGTCACCTGGAGGACGGGGAGCGGCTCCAATGCGTCTACTGCCAGGACATGTTCAACCACGAGGACAACGGGCGGGGCCAGTGCCAGGAGGCCCGGACGCCCCATCCAGACCTGCATCCGCCGGGTCAGCTTCATGTGGTGCGCCGACAGCCTGCTGTACCACTGCATGTCCGACCCGGAGGGCGACTACTCGGACCCCTGCTCCTGCGACACCAGCGACGAGCGATTCTGCCTGCGCTGGACGGCGCTGGTCGGGCTGTCGCTGCTGGCGCCCTGCATGTGCTACGCCCCCCTGAAGGCGTGCCACCGCTGCGGCGTGGCCTGCCCGCTGCTGCGGCGGCAAGCACAGGGCCGCGGGCTGA